TTAGGATGGCTGATGTGCTTGGGAAAAGGCTCTTAATTATTGCTCCTTGGAGAGAAAGGCTGGGAAGAGGAGGAAAAAGTGAATGGAAAAGAACTGAATAACTTGCTGGAGTCTGGGGGTGTTGGCTGGGAGGAAGGAAGGGGCAACACACCAGGAGCAACCCCGGGAGGCTGGAAAGCCCGTCCCTGCACGCTGGATGTGGTGCCTCCTGTCCAGCTCCCAGGAACTGATGCCCCCTCCCAATTCCTCCCCTCCCGGGTCCCTTTGTGGGGCAGCTCCCGGGGGGACACCCAGACCCCCAACACACTTGTGAGGTGAGCCCAACCACACACGGAGCCGTGCTCGCTGTGCAGGTGAGTACAGGTGAGTACAGGTGAGTGCAGGTGAGGCAGGAGAACCCACCTGGAGCACTGGCCACACAAGCCAGCCCACAAAGGATCCTTCTACCCTGCCCTGTGGACCCAGCCAGCAAGGAGCAAGGTGGATGCTGTCTGCCATCATCACCACTGCTGGGACCCTCTGTACAACATGTTACCCTTCCTGGAGCAGGGCACAACCCTTCTCCTTGTCCTGGTCCCATCCCCACTCATCTGCTCCTCCTCCTTCCTCCACCCTGAGCAAACCTGCAGCACTGCACACACACAATGGGCGCAGGAATCTCACAAACCCAAGTGGATCCTCTGCAGAGAAGGAGCTTGATTTAATTGTTCCAAGGGACTCACAGAGAGGCTGATGCATCATAACTGGCTCATACAGCACTGCAGCTTTAGGAGCACAGGTAGGACCTTTACTAGCAGACTGGATTTTAGGGCAAACACTTAACTTTCAACAGAGGGGTGACTGCTGGGAAAACAGTTCAGCCTAGCTTGGTTTGCACAAGAACTTTCTGCTGAGCTGGATCTACTATTTAAAGACCACTGAGCAGCACTCCACTCCAGGGAAGGCAGTTTTGAGCCCAACCTGAACAGCCAAATAACTCACAGGGCTGTTGATCCTGTTGGCTTTAGGGGCATCGACACCACTGCCAAGGCATCAGGACCTGCTTGAGAAGCAGGCTGGTCCAGGAGCACAATTCCCAGCAAGCCACCCAGGCCAGGGCTCACCCTCAGACCAAGAGCAGCTCCTGAGTCCATCCATCCCACTCTGCTGCCAGGCCAGATTCAGATGTCACAAACACACTCTTCAGAGGTGGCACAGCACTGTGGTGTATCTTTCTCTCTTTTCAATTGTGAAAGGATTAACACCAAACAAGGGGGAGGTTGCCAGTCACCCCCCGACCACCCCTGGGGGCAGGAGTGGCTCCCCACCCCTGAGCATCCCCAGAGACTCGCTGCCACACCAGGTGGGTGTAACTGTAATAACTCCTCCTTTTTGAGAACAAGAGTGAGAATAGGACACTGACCACGTTTTACATCTCGTGACAAGCAACTTCTCAACAAAAGGCAGGATGGCATAAAAGGAAAACTTAAAAGAGCTAACATTGTAATTTCAAAGACACGAAAGCCAAAACAAAAACACAAACACAGCTATTTTTCCCCCAGAGCACTCTCACTTTCAAGCTCAATAGCCTTGAAAATTGGAGCAATCAAACTGTTAAATGCATCGATCTGTTAAATCAACTCCTACTGTACTCAGCTAAATTTAGCCTTTAATCCCCTCTCTCTCACTCCCAACACTGCAGATCCCAGAGCTTTCCCCAGCCAGGTCAACCAGCCTCTGCCTTCCCACGACACCATGGATTGGTCCTTAAGTAAGCAGAGACAGATGATCAGGAGTGACTGCATTTAGGGGCAGGCTCAGCTTCTCTACCCTCCCTCAGCCCACAGCTATTCACCACATGCAAGTCTTTAGGCTAGAGATGAATACAAAGAGCAGCCCAGACACCATTCTTTGCCAAGAGTCATAGTCACAAAACCAAGAGCCTCTTGTAGCTCTGCATGTGTGTTCACTGGACACCACCACTTTTCAGCAAAGTAGAACCACAGAATGATTTGAGTTGGAAGGGACCTTTAAAGGCCATCTAGTCCAACCCCCCTGCAGTCAGCAGGGACATCTGCAAGTAGAGCAGGTTGCTCAGAGCTCCATCCAACCTGACCCAGAATGGAAGTAGCCTGACCCTTGCCAAGTGCAGGCCATTCATTGCATTTACATTCATTGCCAACAGCAGCTTCCTGCTCCTCATCATCTTCACACTCATTGAGAACCAGCCCATACAACTGCTGTCACAGCAATACAAGGTTTCCAGTGAGCCTTGTTCCCATGGCACAGGGGCGAGCAGCTCCCTGCCCCAGGACCCACAGACTTCACCAGGGACTTGTCAAGGGGGTTAGGAATCAGATGAGCTGGGTTACAACCCTGAAACATCACTGAGCAAGCACAGGGCCTCGGGCACCACTCACTGTCATCTGCCCGTTTCCTTCCCAGCATTTTTTGCTCTTTAGCATCTTCATTAATTGAGGTAGTGTCTCATTTTAGGGGCTGTTTAGTACCTGGACCTGTCCCTCCCTCAAGACTTGCTTAAAAGGCTGAAGGTAGTCTGCCAACAGAAAATAAGGATGGACAAACAGAAACGAGGGAGGGAGCACCAGAACCTTCTGAGGAGAGAAACTCACAGGTCACTTCATAGCACAGAAGGAAAAATTCATCAGCTGAATCACAGAATACAAACAATTAACAAGTTCAGATTCAAATATCTGATTTAAATCTTATGGAAGACAACAGCAAAGTCTTTGTTTCAAAAGAGGTGACGACACAGACTCTATTCTGTGCATCTTCTCCTGTCCTGATTCCTCAGAGCCAGATCAAAAGGCCGTGGAAAGGTGCTGCTGCCTGGCTCTGACCTTCACTGCACCCAAGGGCCCCAGTGAACCACCCTGAGAGGGAACCACTCTCCTCAGACACCGAGTCTAAGGGGAGGGAGCTGGATTTGAAAAGCCTTCTCCAACAGATAGACACGGGTTTTCCTCAACATTGATTTATTTTTAAATATACTACTCAAGAGAGACTGGAATAAAAAATAAATCAAAAAAAAAAAAAAAGAAAAATAGAGAAAGAGAGGAGGAAGAATTGAAAGTCGTGCACAGAAACAATCTGTACTAGACCAAATTAAAGGGGAAACAACCCCCTTAAGTATCACAGAGATGAAGGACAGAGCTATTTACACACTGTAAAAAAGACAAGTCTACAAAAGTGTGTAATAACGAGATACAAATGTATAATATAGTGGCACAATATGTTATCAAAGTAAAAACAGTACCTCCAGGAAAGAGACAGTCCAAGGGTGGTTGTTTTTGTTTTTTTTTCTTACATTTTTAAAGGCAGCTGGTGGCAGAAGTGTGTATTTCCTTTTGAACAGTTATGTGTTAAGTCATGGCTGTTGGTGAGGGCGAGAAGTGGTGTGAACACACACAAGTGAACTACTAGAAATCATATACAAAACAAACAGTTCCAAAGAGAACAGAATAAAATACAATTGAAGGCAATTAGTGTTTAAGATACACAGGAGGGGTCACAAGAGTTACAGGGGAACAGGACATGGAAAATGCTTTTTTTTTCTCGTGTTTGGAACTGTTAAGAGGAGTTAAATTGCACTGTTAATAGCCCTAAACCTTGTTCTTTCACTATTGTCACAAGTCACAGTTAGTTCCCAGTCACATTCCATTAGTTGGGAAGATCACAGGACCTTGGAAAGGAGGCCCAGGAGTCCTGCTGTCAGCATTTTGTGGCAACTTCCTTGGGAGATGCACCCAAGAGAAGTGCCTGCAGTCTTCACAGATCCTTGTTTGATGCTGGATGGAACCACACTGGCATGAAGGTAGTGATGGTTTTAACCCCAAGGTACTGGCATCTGAGCAACTCACGTGGAGCTAGCACTGGCACGGGAGGGGAGGCACCACAGCCCCTCGAAGCACATGTCTCTATGGGAGGGCAGAAGCCAGGTCCCACCTCTGCTCATAGAACAAAGAGATGGAAATTCAACTAGAGGAGAGCAGTTCCTGCCCAGCCACGGTGTGTGAGCTCAGCTGAAAGAGCTGCTGGAGGCACAGTGGACTCTCCGAACTCACCCCAAGCCTCCTCCCCCTCCTGCACCCCTCCTTTCAGGGAGGGATGCCTTGCTGAGCACCAGCCCACTGCTCCCTGACCTCTGGAACCCTCCACCCCAAACGCTGGCCCAATTAATGTTAGATATCAGGAGAGTGAGGCAGCAACTTCCTTCCTCAGACCTTCTCTGGTCCTTTTTCCCTACTGAGGGAGATCAGCAAACGGGCTCCTGTGCCGCTGCATTAGCGGGCGCTGTCTGCAACGTTTTGAACCCAAGCAACTCCTTTGGGCTCAACAACATTGAGAAATCACTGAAAACACAAAACCAAAGGGCAGCAGGTGGAACCATAGGAATAATTCAGACAAACATCACTTGTAGCATTCCGTCATTAAAGAGCTTAAACCATTTCCCCCCCTTCCCTTCCAAGCGCCAAATCTATCGCATTAATGTCAAGTAAACGTCAGGCTGGGGCCAGGGACACGTGCTGCAACTCTCCCAAGGAACACAGGGGGTATATTGCTATCAGACACTCATCCTTGTGTACAGGGGGGCACAGGGAGGGGACAAAAGCGCATTAGAAAGTCCTCCTAGGGAGGGTGGCACCTCAGTGTCCATCAGTCTGGCTTCAGTCTTAACAGTCTGTCCAGAACAATAAAATATTAATAAAAGGCATGGTGTGACATCAGCATTTAGACTTGTAGTCCACAAGGCAAGAACTCCACAGATAAGACGATTACGAGTATATGAAACACAGGGAATCTGAGTCAAGAGGGTGGAAGGTGCCTCTTGAACACAGCCCTGCCCTTTGGAGCTGGGGCGTCCATTCACAGTCTGGGCCTTTTGCACAGCCCTAACCTCAACGCCCCGGTCCTTTGTCAGTCCACACATATTACTCTCTCCACAGTTGGCTTTGGCCCGTTGTGATATAATTATTATTTGTTCATTAACCTGGCTTCTGCTACCTCTGAACAATGTCGCTGATTTCTTTCACTGAACTGAGCAGTTTGCTAAAGTCCTGGGTGGCCGCAGGACCGCTGCCAGCTGTCGCTGGGCAGATCTGAAGCTCCCTTAGGTTATTCTCCAGCTTATTGATGGCCTCCCGGAAGGCAAATTTGTTCCTCATCTGCTGAATGGAGTCCACGTAGCTCACACAGAAGGTGTAGAGGTTCTTGCCAGCCTCCAAGACGGCGCTGTGGCTCGCCATTTGCTCCGAGTTCTTGCTGATGGCGACCCGCAGAGCCTCGGTGCTCTCCAGCACCACCCCTTTGGTGATGGTGCCGCTGGCGATCCTCTCCGGGGGCTGCCGGGTCTTCCGCAGCGACACCCGGGTGGATATGAGAGGGATGAAGGCTGTGGAGGACGGCTGGTCCCCGCCCGGGGCGGAGGGCACGGATGAGGCAGAGGCAGCTGGGGTTGCCGTGCTCAGCAGCAGCTTTGTAGAGGACTGTGGCTTTGGTACAGAGGGGATCCCCAGCTTTTTCACACCTTCCCCTGATGGGTTTGGCTTGACAGCATCGCTGCTCACAGCCTCTCCAACCTGAGTCAACTGTTTGGATTTCGGCCCAGACACCACATCTGCTGCTGCTGCCTCGTGGCTGGGACTGTGAGAAACCTTCCCAGGCTTGCTGATGGAGGATGAGGACAGCGGAAGCGGAGGGGCCGGCTTCAGCTTGGATAGCTTCCCTTTGTCCTTCCCTGCCGGCTCAGAGGCCTGCTTGAGCCTCCTCAGCCGGGGCTCCTCAGAGGAAGCTTTGCTGGCACCCACGAACCCAGCAGGGTTAGGTTTGGCAGTGGAACCTTGGTCCATCGTCACAGTGGTACCTAAGGCACTGGCTTTGACTCCCTCATCCTTGTGGAGCACGCTGGAGGAAGGAGGGGCAGCAGGCTGCCTACGGCCGAGTTTTGGCGTCAGAGTGGGAGGGCTGGATCCAGGGCTCGACTCTGCATCCTTGAACACATCATCAGTGGTCTCTTCATTTTTCTTAAGCAGCCGTGGAGGAGGGGTCACCGTTCCCCTGACAGCAAGGTCAGTCTTGGCCTCGTTTGCCCGCTTCCGAGGCAGCGCTGGCTTTTCACTTTTGTGCCCCCCAAAAGTGGAGGAATCAAACTGGCGTCCCGTGGACTGCAGATCCCGAGGCAGAGTCACAGACTTCCACTCTGTGTCCTTTGCTCCGTGGGGCACACAGGAGGCTGAGCAGGACCTCAAGAAGCGCTTGCTGGAGTTGGAACTACTCTCGTCTTCACCAGGCACCCCTCGACTGCTGCTCATCGTGCTGGACTTCTTCCGTAAGTGGGGAGACAGGAAGCCAGAGTTCCCAGCAACGACCCCGTTGGTGACACCGGCCCCGTTGCTCGGGCTCTGAAACTTGGAGGGGTCGGCTGGGTCTGCAGGGGGTGCAATGAAAGCTCCATTGCCAGGGTCCCTGCACTCCTCCTCCCCGCCCGCCCTGCGCTCCGCGTGCCCGTCCATCTCTCTGAAGGAGCTGCTCCGTTTTGGAGGGGTAGGGGCTGTCTTCTTCTTCTTCTTGATAAGGGCACTGAAGAGGTTGTGCTTTTTGTCCTTCGGTAGCAGCCTCTCATCTTCGTTCAAGCTGCTCTCCAGGGCCACCCTCTCCTTCCGTGGGAGCAAGGGAGAAATAGCAGGTTCGTGATCCAGAGGGTCTGCAAGGCAAAGAAAAGAGCCTACTGAGAATTTCTGCAACACCCAGAATAGTCGTTCTTCTTCCAGGATCGAGCACCTCCAAAGGTGCAGGTTCTGCAGAGAGCCAGCTTCAGGCCAGGAGTAAAGCACACAGAGCCACACTCAATCCTGGACTGAATGTGGTCCCTAATCCTGCATGTATTTATTTCTGAAGTGGCCTCTACAGGACTCGGCTGCCAAACTACTTTCCCTGTAGGCTTCTTATTTAAACAGTGACATACAAATGTATAATGTTTATGTTCAGATTCCCACCCTCACATCTGGAGACCTGTCTAAACTTCAGGCTGTGAAGAAGATAAATATTAAGAGGCCTTTGCTCTAGTCCCTGTGCTGCTCCTGAGTTCTGAATAGCCAGCTCTCTGAATTAATAACCCACCTCCATCCCCAGTCTCCTTTATTCATTTGGATTCTGATACTCCTAACCTCCTTCCCAATGTCACCCTTTGTGGGGAATGGAAATGGCTTTTTCTCAAGCAGAAATCAAGAGACCCTTCGACAGCTGAACACTTCAGGCCGTGCCACCACGAAGAAGGGAAGTAATAGCCTCCTTCAGCAGCACTGCTCCAGAAGGAAATGATGAGTTGACCCTTTCTCTATTTAAAAATGAATAGCAGTTTATAATAAATTTATACAGAGTGCTGAAGGTCTCTGTGACTGACAGGGGGTCTCACTCCCAGGCCAGACGCTCAGCTGGCATTCTAACTCAAAGGAGGAATGCCTTCAGGGCAGCAGATACATTTACAGCACGACTAGGCAGTAAGAAGGAAGATGAAGTGGAGTCACAGGAGAAAAGGAAGATGCTTCTTAGTCACATACTGTCTGGTCGTCATCATGCTATGGGTAGGATTTTGGCTGAGGAGAGAGAATTTGAAGAACAGTGTGCACTTTGAGAAGACAGCATGGTTTCACAGGACCACGTGCAGTTAAACCACACAACAACTTCTGTGGACCTGGACAACCAGCAGAGCTCTCACAGTAGCTCAGGAGGCCATGGCCTTTCTGTGTGTAGACAGTGGAGCTGCAGAGACTCAGAGAAAACCAGCAGCTTGCACTGAGCATCAGCTTCCAGCCACTGGACTTGCTATGGAAACACTGACAACTGAAGGGGAAACTGCAGTAAAACTTTAATGTGAAATATTTTCTTTCACAATAAAGAGTGAAATGATTCCCAGCATAACGTTTAAATCACATTATTCCTGATGCACTTGAATCTCTCAAAGCCCTTAAGTATTTAAATTAAGTTATTTTACTTCAAAGCTTGTAATACTAGGCAATTATATCTCCTATATACGGTAAATAATCTAAGTCTCTGATACCTCCTTTTCCCAACATTTTACATCCACTCTTTTTTTCCCCCCTCTTTGTCTAGATGTCTGTACATCTGCTACTGAAACTTGTACTACCAGCTGAATCTGACATTGCACAAAAAAAGGTCAGACACATGAATGGTCAGACAAGGCAGCCTCAACAGGAGCTGGAAAAAAACCACTGTATTTTGTTTTACCTAATTATTTTTCAAATGAGCTAAATACAAATCTACTGTGTACATTCAGTATTTTAACATTCCTTTTTTTACCTCAGAATGGAAGTAAATTCTTGAAGAAACTGATTGAAAGCAAGTTTAATTTCATAGAAGATTCTGTAAATACCTCTTTGTCCCTTGCTGAAATTATATTTGGTACCTGCCACGAGTAATGCTTTTCAGTGCTCCAAGCACAAACCTAGTAGGATGGAAAAGAGAAGAACCCTCCCCTATGAGGCTTGCTAAACTCGAGCAATCGTCCTGCTTTAAATTATGTAGTGTGGTGGTGTAAAGTGGCTGGAACACAGCAGATTACCCAGCCCTCAGATGCAGTGGGAGATCCCACTGATAGCTCCTACCAGGGAATGGGAAGAGGATGTGATCAGAGAGCTCCATGCTCAGGCTCTGGTCTATAGGGAGCTGCAAGAAACAGCCATTAAGTTAAAAGAACTCCTCAGCCCTCTCTAAGCAACGGCAGGGATAGCACCAATCCCTCAGCCAGTTAAGGATTCACACTCCCAGCTGCTGCCTGTATCTGGTCCCAAGATTAACAACGTACCTTTGGAAAAAATAATAAAAGGTCTGAACCCAGCAAAGCAAACTCAGCAGCCTGTCATCCAGAAACACAAACCAGCCCAGAAAGATGGCACCTGTTATTAGACGAAATTTTGCCTAGTTGAAGACCTGGAGCTGGATGTGCATTTTGTTTTCCTCTGTATTTCCTGAAGGAATAATGACTTTAATTAAAACCTACCACACTCCCCCTGGCCTCGGGCATGTGCAGTCTCCAAGCCCTCATTGGCATCTTTGCTTTCAGCAGCTCTCCTCGACGTTCGCGTTTTGGTTGGTAGCTCTGGGGCCTGGAGGAAATTGCTCACTACACTCCTCATGCCCTTCTTTCCCAATTCCTTCTCCACCTCTGCAACGCACAGAAGAAAAACGATCACTACAGTGAACAGAAGATAAAAACTCTTGTGCTGTTCACAGTTAATAGAGCAAAAGAAAAGCGAACAGTACAAAGCAGAGCTTCCTGGAGGTTGTTCAGCCATTTAGCTCTTTAAAATCAGATGTATGCCCAGAAAAACAGCCCCCATGTAAATGCACTTCTGCTTCCTACACTGTTTATAGCAGGCAGTATAATCCAGGATGGAGTTTCACTGCAAAGGAGCCTGTGAACAACACGCAGAGTTAAGGATGCATGTTGGCCCTCCTCCCATCCCTGGAATTGCTGGTTCAAGAGGGTCTCAGACCTACCATCTGATATGCTGGATTCCTGAAACATCGTTTCAAAGGCCTGATGGATCTCAGCAAAGGAGGGTCTGTCAGAAGGGCTCCACTGCCAGCCTGAAAAAGCAACACTGCTCAGAACTCTCTGCCAGCATTAGACATTCAGCACACTGCACCAGGAGGAGCTGGCGATCTCAGCTCCTTTTTTATAAAGCAAGTGAGATAAAATAATGACATGAAAACCTCATCTGAAGGGTGCTGGGATCTGCAAACACCACTGAGCCAAACTAATGCAGGGAAAAAACAAAGTAACACACTAAGTCATGTACCAAAAGGCCACAGTGGAAAAGGAACAATTGGTCCCTCAAGAAGCCTAATGAAGCTCTTGCTTCATCCTTAGAGGAAAAGTTTTTCTTTAAATTGTCAGGAAAAAGGAGGCGAAGTAAACATTGAGCTGAACAATAAATCTCTCCCCCTGGCCTGTGTGCTCTCAGTAGAGAAGAATTGCTGTTTTCACAGCATGTTCACCCTCTGGGGAAAGTAGTTTTAACCAAGCACTTCTACACAGCACTGCACCTTCACTGGAACTGGCAGAGGGTTTCTCATGCCATGCTGTATGTGGCCACACCCTGGCACTTCTACTGCACCTCTGCAGAGCTAAAAAGCAGCATTTGCAGGGCTGAGGAACACTTACATGCTCTCATGAGCTCATACACTTTCTCTGGACAGCCTTCAGGGCGCTCCATACGGTAGTCTTTCTCCAGCAGCTCATACACTTGGGACAGGTCAATCCCAGGGTAAGGGGACATACCATAGGTGGCAATTTCCCACAGCAGAACGCCAAAGGCTGCAGCGGAGAAAGAAAGAAAGAAAGAAAGAAAGAAAGAAAGAAAGAAAGAAAAAATGAGGAAAAAAAAAAAATCAATAATCTTTGTTTTCATCTTAAACGTGAGAGGCTGTTTAGTGGGAGTAGTGCTGCACACTTAAACCAGCTCTGGGTGGCTTGGATCCCATGCTCAGCTGCAGCTTAAATGTTAAAGAAGCCTAACAAGGCTCTTCGTCGGCACAGACAAGGCTCCCGCGATATGACAGGGTAGAATTAGACTAATTTTCAATGTATCAGTTGTCTCAAACCTGAACGCCTTGAGATCCTTCAAGTCCTATTAGGGGCACAATTAAGAGACTTCACAGTGGATTAGCTGAAACGGTTTCAGTGCTGCACTGCAGTCTCTCCCTCGGTTTGACAGCTCCTCTCATCTGCAGCCTCTCCCTGGAGGACTCGCACATTTTAATAGCCCAGTGTTTTTGGGGTGCCCTCGTTTAGCTGCAGTGTGGATCAGATGGGAAACCAGGGAACAGTGAGTGGGAGGTTTCAGGAGTTGCCACCACCAAGTCAGAGTGAGGGCGAGATGTTTTGGTCACAGGGGAAGAGAAGCAGGAAAAGGGGGAGCACGAAACGGGTCTTAAAACAGGTGAGGCAGTCAAGTCCCCCAAAGTCAGGGGGATGCAGGTCAGGAGCCAGGTCAGGCAGCTAACCAGGAGTCGGGCACGCAGAATAAACTCAACACCAGTTCAACAGCCTGCATGTAATTAGTTCAGTCACCCTATTCTGTTCTTAACCTGAAGAGAAAGCGATTACAGTTCTGCATAAGTAAGGAAATCACATCACATTACATGGTAACGCCACCAAGGGCAATTTACATTAGGCATTTCTGTGCACAATTTTCTTTGATTGCTGTCTGGAGGCAGTGAGGTGAAAGCATCTAAACTCTGGCGTGCCCAGCAGCAGCCGTGCCCTCCGGGGACAGTCGCTTGCTCTAATCACATCCCAAAGTCCACTGCCCTGACTCTCACTCCACAAGGTTACACTAACCCTAATTAAAGATACCCAATACTCCTTTTGGATCTTTCCTCCCCATAGTACTCCACTATTTAAGTGTGCCAGGGATCCTGCAGCCACCACAGCAATTCAGCAGCATGCCTGAGACTGCGGCAGAAACCCAGCAGCAGCAAACACCACCATGTGCAAGTCCAAAGCAGAACAAACACTTTCATCAGCTCCTTGGGAAGTGTTTTGGGTTTTCCTCCCCCGTCTATAAAACATTTTGTATCAGCCATCTACCTAGGAGTTTATTCAGAATAAAGCCATTCTCCCCTGTTTCCTGAAAACTCCAGAAAACTTGCTTGCTGCTTCACTTCTATCCATTGTTTTATACACAGAAGGTGCTCAGGATAACATTTTTCCAAGTGCCTTTAGGGCCATGTCCCACAAACTTCTATCTCATGTCACTGGGCACTTTTGAGAATTTGACCCAACAGCTATGGCAGAGATATAAAACCCAAAGAAAGGCTGATAAAGAGTTCAATGAGATTTTCTGTGGTCAGATTTGATAGAATAGAGCTTCATTTAACTAAGACTACTCTTATCACCAGTACCTCAGGGCTCCTCCATTTGTCATTAAATTTTCCCTCTGTTTCTCCTCATCTCATTCCAAAGATGATTATTTTAAAACAAGCTTGGAGCTATCACTAGACAGATACTCACTTTTTTTTTTTTTTTAAACACAAAATGAACCAGATTCTCACTTTCCTCCTTGAAGTAGTTAGAAACTTCCTGGCTATATAACAATATATGGCTTTATAGTCCTGTGCCAGCACTCTAACTTTCTATCAAGCACTCTAAGTTTCTATCAAGGCAGCAGCATCTGTGCCCCCCTGTCTCATTTCATAGATTTTTATAAACACTAGAATATCCTTTATTTTCTTATTTGCCAACAATTTCAATGTATAAAGTCAGGTTGGCATCCTCAGTGCTCCACTCAAAGACTGACTTAGCAGAGATTAGTTCCTGCACTCTGACAAGCTCATAGAACAATATGGCTCAAACTAAGGAAAGTGCTCCCTCCCAAACTTTTCACAATGTCCTCATTTCACAGCCCAGGGAAAGAAGGCTATAGAAGGCTATAATCTGCATTAATTTGTACATGCAAATTCTTACCCCAGACGTCTGATTTAATGGAGAACTTATTGTAGGCCAGGCTTTCTGGTGCAGTCCACTTGATGGGGAATTTTGCTCCGGCGTGGGCAGTGTATGTGTCGCCTGTCATTAGCCTGCTCAGGCCAAAGTCTGCCACCTTCACCAAGTGGTTCTCCCCTACAAGGCAGTTTCTGGCAGCAAGGTCCCTAAAAACAAGAACAAAAATAGGCAATGAGTAGTCTTGTCTCTCTTTTAGCAATAACAAGGAAAACTGCTGTTCCCAACGAAAGCTGGGCCTGTGTGCGATTATTTTGATCAGAGTATTACACAGAAATTATGTACTTACACAAATACATGTAAAAGGGAAAGTTATTTTCCATTCTGGCTTTATAAGACTGTCAACCAAACTTTTTTTAAAAAAAAATTGAAGTGAAAGCTTCAAGAAGCCCCCTCACTTTCAATAAAAGCTGCCACCCTCAGGATAAAAATAATGTAAAGAAATGTCAGTGCTCAAGTTATCAATAGCTGAGGAGGAGCACTGAATAAACACAGCCTCAACGTCTCACTTCTTACCCACCTCTCTGGCACCTGGGTCACCACAGCCAACACCAGTCCCTTCCAGAACTCCTCTTCCAGTCCTTGCTCAAGCACCAGGTTTGGCTCCCAGCTATGCTCCTCTTCCTCCCAAGTGTACCACATTTTACAGCACAACTTTTTCATACCACATTTTGGCCCTTTCAAACCTATTGTAACCTCTGCTGTCAGCACTTACATTTTGTAAAGGACTAGGGAATAAGCAAATTAAGCTTTTCCTCCACCTTTTTTCACCTGCCTCCACCTTAAGATATGTACAGGCTGTTAGCACCCTTGGAAATCCTTCATGAGTATAAAAAAGTAAAGCAGAGAGGTACATTTCTCCTAATATAAGTTTTCATTAAAAACACTTTTCCAACATTATGTCACGTTGAACTAAAAATTGGTTCTAGCAGGAAGCTGGAGTGAGATCTTTAGATATGAGGCAGATGCTGCTGTTTCCTTTGCTTGTTCTGCTCAATCAGAACAATTTTTTTTTAAAAGTACATCTCGCTAGATGCTCATTAAATTTTTACAGAGATTTTGAATGTACCTTCTTATCAATGCTGATTACTACAATGTGTGTCTAAATAAAAGCTCCTCTTCATAATCAAATTCCCCCTCCTTCCTGATTCATTAAATGAGGTCACAGCTCAGCATTTGAATCCATGGATGTGAATTGTGAAAGTACTCTTAAAATAATTGGGTAGGTGGGTATGGGGGTGGCCAATAGAGGAAAAATGCTACTATTTATTTTAGATAAATGGATCATCAGAAATAAGAAGAAATAAAATGAACAGGAGACAGACAAATGGGTATCACACAAAGCAGTTTTTAAAGTTCACTTCCTACAGGCTGAAGGGATGAAATACTTTCAACAGAGCAAATCAAAGGCTGGAAAATTTAATTTGCAGCATCATCGTTCACTTTATTGACTGACAGAAGCATTTAAGCAAGCCTTTCAGGCAGCAAGGGCAACGAATGGCTTAGAGGAGCACCTAGAACTTCACACAGGATCTTCATATTAGTCTCTATGAAAAAACATGTGTTAATTTCATATTCCAGTTAATTGGGCAGGAAAGGTCACTCTGTGGCACAGAGAGCCTCTTGTATAAAGCTCAGCGACTCTCCAACTTTCACGTAGGATGTGTCATTATATTGCTAGGAGGCCATTTCTACAGATGAAGAATGCAAAGTCTCTGCCATAATTGCAGCACACTTAAAGGTCAGAGTCTCCAAGAAGAGACGCTTATTAAAGTGAATACACAATCTGGACAACAGTAGGAAACAATCCCTACAGAGGGCAGGAAAAAAGCCAAACAAACAAGAGAGAGCACGGGATAAGAAGGCACCAAGAGGGTAGCTCTGCTGTGAGCACCTGCATTCCCCCAGCAACATCAACTGCAGCAGTTTTTAACGGCTGTTGCTGTTAGAATTAAGGAAGAGCAGCAGCTTATCTGCTCCACTAAGAGCCCCTTACTTTGGGAAGCATTTACTTTTAAGGCCCTTGCCCAAAAGATAAAGCACTGATGTGTCTTCTGCCTGCATCTACTTCAAAGGTGAAAGAAAATCACTGAGAGAAAAACAAATTAGGAGACCATCCTATAGCCAGGTTAATGTACTGTATCAGAATACAATGCACTAGTGTGTTAAACACAGGACACCAACTGCAGCTAAATCAATGCCGTGATAATCTGAAAGGCAGGAAAATAAATCAAGGGGCGCTGCGTGCTTGAGGTTCAGGAGTGCTCACCGTCCCTCCTACCTGTGAATGAAATTCTTCTTCTCCAGGTACTCCATGGCTGAGGAGATCTGGGTTGCCATGTAGAGCAGCACCACAGCGTTCACCTCCTGCCGGTTGCACTCCCGCAGGTAATCCAGCAGGTTCCCGTACGTCATGAACTCCGTGATGATGTAGAAAGGAGGTTCCCGTGTGCACACCCCTGGGGACAGATAAAGCTTACATGTTAAATGCCTGAGAGTATCAGGGAACCCTCAGGTTTTTTCCCTCTAGGGCAATTTATACCTCTAGAAGGTAGAAATATGGGGCTCAGAGAAAGAATGAGTTCTGCTTGGAACTGGTTAATAGAGAGTTTTAATTTCCTGCTTCAGACTCTGGCAACTTAAACATTAGGGAGACAAGATCATTAAAAGTCATGTATTAGTGGTACAAATTGTGAATTTTGCCAGACAATAAGTGTCTGTATTTAAAGCCTTGGTACGCTAAGCTGCTTATCTGCTCCTTAACATCCATATCACTGCACAAGGGTTTAGTTCAAATCCCTCTGCTTGGTATTTATCACTTACCTAATAATTGTACCAAGTTCGGATGCTTGATCTCCTTCATTACTGCAGCTTCTTTCAAGAACTCTTCCACCTCCATGGTATCCTCCTGCAGAACAATGGTAAAGCTTTGGCAAGGACAGCATGCACAGAGAAGGAGCAGATTTTTTTGTATGAGGACACAAAAAGAACTGCAAACTGACAACATAAGCCACAGTTCTTTCAAGGTAATTTTTCCCTGTAGCCACATCACAATGCTGAGGACTTAGGAACATTGGGGTTTTTGTAGAATTTGAAAATATATATATTTTTATCATTCTTATTCTAACGGAGCTTTTTGGGGCAAGAAAATCCATATCACTTTTGTGAAGGGCCTCTCTCAGGACCACTCAGGAGCTGAAAAGGAAAAATGTGCTTGTTCCTAACACAAAAAAAAAGATAGAAAGAAATAAAAAGTACAGAAGAGAAAAAAGAATGAACATAAAAGGAAGGATATGCCACAATAAAACACTTGAGAAGCTGCTGAAACACAGGCACCCAGTTCCACTGGGTAGGAGCAAGGAATTCCCCATTGAGACAAGGGGGCAGGACTGATGGCAGCCACCCCACCACCAAAAGCCCAAGGTGTCACAGACTTCATTTCTGGCATTTAGAGCCTGACCCACAACGTAGCTGTTCTGGGCAGCCGTGTCACCACCTGTTTGTTGAATGCCACAAAGTCAATTGGCAAAGCACAAACCCAAAGAAGATACAATCTTGCTCAAAAGACATGCTTTCTGAAGCAAACGTGCTCCAAATGGCTGGAAGGTCATTTCAAAGTGGTGCAAAAAATAATACAGATCTATTCCTAAAGCAATGTTTCTTTCTATATCCATATTTTTTTTTCATTGATGGATTAATGTTGACAGGCTACATGGACGAAGTGTTTTAAGGAAGGATTGGAAAGGATTTACTGCTGCTGGTGAGAATGATAACAGTGGGCTGCTGCTCTAAGATCCAGCCAGCTCTCTGCTTTGCAGTTAGCAATGAGAACATTATTCCAACAGTTTCATTCAATCATTTACTATTTGTTGCCAATTAGCTTGATTGGCAGCTGTGATTTGCTGAACACATTCTGTCAAAACTAATAGCCCAAAGGTCCTCGTGAGCAGAACCTTAAACTGTTTTCTTTGGCAAAGGAAACTGCGTTAATAATCCAGGTTGCAAAATTACCCTAAATATGCATTTATCTTATGCACACTATGCAAACTCTCTAAAGGTTGCTCCTCTGAACAGCTGTTCATTGTTTTAAGCCTCTTACCTCTCCCTGACCAAATTAATAAGAAGGATACATAGAGAGAACTACTGTAACAACAATCTCTCTGAAAATCTGATCTCACGTGCAGGATCAAGCTTAACCAGCTTCCATCTTCCTCTGTATAAAACCACAGCAGAAATAAAACTGTTCTGGCTGTACAATATTCTCCTAGCACGCCACAGCATTAAGGGATGCCAGGGCTGCACCCTGCCTAATTTAAAATACAGGCTTCTCTGCTGGGGAGAAAGTAAAAAAACAAAGAAAAATAAAAAGTGTTAGTCCTAGAGAATGCAGACTGGAGGAGTGCAGTAAGAAACGTGCTGAAATGCCCAGCTCACAACAGTTCAGCCATTAAATGGCCCTCATGGGGAACAACCTTTGGCCCCAGACACAGCAGGCTGTCCAACGCTGTGCAGGTCACAAAGCTCCACTCCCAGTTATTGCAGCCACTGCCTACCCACCTCATGCTCCTTTCCACCAACGTCAGGTGGAAAAACACAAATGCAGAGTGTGTTCTGTTATGGTAACAGACCCTTGTAAATACTGATGTGTCCTGTGCAACGCACTGAGCTCCCAATGACATATAGACAAAGCTGGTGAAGGGTCTGGAGAACAAGTCTGGTGAGGGGCAGCTGAGGGAGCTGGGGGTGCTGAGCCTGGAGCAAAGGAGGCTCAGGGGAGACCTTCTGGCTCTGCACAGCTCCTGACAGGAGCCTGGAGCCAGGTGGGGGTCGGGCTCTGCTCCCAAGGAACAAGTGACAGGACATGAGGAAATGGCCTCAAGTTGTCCCAGGGGAGGTTTAGATTGGACATTAGGAAAAATTTCCCCAAAATGGTTGTCAAGCCTTGGAACAGGCTGCCTGGGGCAGTGGTGGAGTCCCCATCCCTGGAGGGGGTTCAGAGCCATGCAGATGTGGTGCTGAGGGACATGGTGTAGCAGTGACCTGGCAGTGCTGGGTTAATGGTTGGGCTTCATGATTTTGAAGGTCTCTTCCAACCAAAAGAATTCTATGATTTTAACAGAAACTTCTTGAGGACCAGAACACTGTCTACAACTTCCCAGTTAAACACAGCTGAGGAGCAGTGTGTGCTGCTTTCATTGCCTTCTTGCATGATGTAGGGTTTTGCACCAGCTAAGAGCTACATTTAGACACCAGACACAGAAGTGAACCACAAATGGGTGTTTGGAAGCATCACTATCTAAAAAGAAGCTGAAACCATTTTTTTCCCCCTCTTTGTTTTCCTTCCCCTTTATTTTTCCTGGAGAGGTATCTGAAGTACACGGAGAAGGAACAAGAAGAGCTATATAAAGTTTTGAAAAATATTCTCTCAGAGGAAAATAAAAGTGAGTCATTTGAACGTTTGTGCAGAAGCTGCAGAGGGCTTGTTTTTCCCTGTAGAACTGGGATATAAATGTAATTTTAAAATGTTGCCCAAAACTTTGAAAAAAGCTATAATCCCACATGTCAGGCAGCAGACTGATGGATTTAAGGAAGGCAGATTATAAATTTGCTTTTAAGCATAGTTTTAGTGTGCATAATTGCAGGTTGAAGTGTTTCTCAACTCTCTTCTTGGTTATTCTTACATTTCCCAGTGGAACGTGCTGCTCCATACTACATTATGAACCACTTTTAGTCATGTTTCATTAAATATTTATTTGATATATTTGAACCAGTCATGGTTTTTATTAAGGTTTCTCCTTATGCACAAACAGATTTTATGGCATAACATGCAATTTGCCTTTGTTGATGGGTTTTAGAGAGAAGAGAATGAAAGCAACAACTACAGTTTGGAACAAAATGAGAAATCTGAAGACGCTGGGTATCCTCACACTGCAACCAGCAGCAGGAAAGGAGATGTTACAGCAAACAATGTTCTAGGGAAGAAGTGGTCTCTCCTTTCCACTATAAACAGGCATTTTGTTGAACCTGGTCACATCCCAGCTCCACCTGCACCACAGTGCTCCCGAGTGTGCCCTGAGGTCCCCAGCAGGCTGGATCAGGGCAGGGACAACACTAGGTGTCACTGGCTCCCTGTGCAAGCTGGCGCTTGGACTCTCCTCCACTGGGGAGCAGCAACAGGATCTCCAGAGTACAAAAAAAGGCCAAAATGAAAATAATTTCTGCAACCATAGCAACCCAGAAATACCGAGGTAGCCGCTGCTCAGAGCGCAAGGAAGAAATATTTTCCCCAAATCAAGGAAACGTTCCTCCCCTGACACTAAAGCATCTACACAGCTCTCTCCACTTCAAAATTTCTACTGAAACAAAACAAAAAGAAACAAACAAAAAACCCTGTTCTGTTTGTTTCTGCATGGCCAAACCACATCCCCATCTGAGGAGAGAGAACACGGTGTCAAGTTAGTGTAAACTCTTATTAAGCAATCAAATGCAATGCATGTGGAAGGTGCCAGAAGATCTCAAGACATTTTTATAAACATAAATGAAGTAAGCAATGACCTTATGAACTCACAGAGCATTATTTGCATTTCAAGAGGCAAGGAAACCAAGACACACAAACCAGGGAGCAGAGCCAGAAACAGAACTGACTATCCAGTTCCTCATTAAGGCCACTTATGAATTGTAATATATTTTATCCTGGATACACTTTTTTCTCCTCTTGTATCTTTTGATAAGGAGCAGCTGTGAAGAATTGCTTAAGATTTCTAGGTACCCAAGGAGTTTGTCTTTTGGGAAAGACACATCAGACAGAAAATCAAGACACGTAAAGCCTCCCTGAAGCACGGCCTTTGAATTTTATGTGGACTGACTCACAATCCACCATTTTTCTTAATACACCAGCTTGTCTGTGTTCATCTGTGAACAGCTCAACCTTTGCCACACCCTGCATGTGAGACACCACGGCACTATTTGCTTTTCTAAGGTTTCATCAGTTCTGAAGGAAAAATTGTAACTAAACAAAAGAGGATGTTAACAGCACAAGTGTTTCAGGTATCATTTAAAACCACAATAGGATCAAGCTCTTTCAAAAATACTCAATTCCAAGCCTCCAGCACAGAAAGGAGGTGCTGTCAACAACCCAACTGCCAAACCGGGGTTGAGGGCAGGCAGCCAGCTTGAACTCACCTCCCGTTGAATAGGAACACTCAGAGATTTGAGTCCTACCTTCAGAGTCTTCACAGCCACCGTAAGGTTGTACTTCTTCCAGACTCCCTCGTAGACCTCTCCATACTGGCCTCCACCCAGCTTGTGCTTCATGGTGATGTCGGTGCGCTCGATCTCCCACTTGTCGTAGTTGGGAGACACGCCGTAGATGGTGGGCTTGTTGCGCTTGGGGGCCGGGTAGTGCAGAGTGGTGATGAGCCCATCTGCCACCGTGGAGTGATGATGGACCAGCTCTGCTAAGGTGTTGAAGCGACTCTCCGAAGAGACGTACAGCTGGGAGCAAAGAGGAAGAGGAAGGTCACCCACATAATGCTCGTCAGAGCATTCATACGTAGGAACGACTTATAAAACTGGGAGAGCAAAGTGTGACATCACTTCTGTTTGACCTGCAGCACCATGAGCTCCACCAGCTCTGTAGCTCCTTCTCAGAAGCTCAGACCTGAGAATAATCAACACTCACATGGGAAATGCACAGACTCAGGAGAAAATACATGCACTTTGCTTAGCCTATGGACAGCATGACTGCTGACAGCATTAGAATGGCGTGCTGTTGCTTGAAATGTCTTTTTTCAAAAGGCTGGTCAGTAAAGATTGGGGGGCACATCCTGGAGAGTAGGGGGTGGTCAACTTCAGTGCCTTGATTCCATTGTTACTATTTTGGTTATGACATCTTCATCTGCCTAAATTCTCCTTGAAGTGTCACTAGCAAGCTGGTGGCTTCCTTGCTCTTGGCCTAAGCTCTGGATAGCATGAAGGCAGGCAGCCAGCCTGCTCCATTCTTGTGATGGGCACCAATCAATAACACAGAAGTAAAATCATTACCACTGAATGAGCACCTGCTGTGAGGCAGATAACCCATATTTGTTACCTTCTTAACATTTATACAGAAGATCCATTTTAAGCCCAAAAGCCCACTAAAGACAATGGACAAGGCACTCCCTACCACCAGAGCTTTGTATTTCCAGTTTGCACACTCAAAGCCAGTCTTCCACTACAAAAAGCTAGAAAAGTGATTTTTAAAAAGTGACACTGATAAGATGCAAAGGAGAGGGAGAAATCTTTATATCAAAGTGCAACAGCCTATGCTGGACGCAGCACACAGAGGATGGAAGAGCTCCACCTCTCACAAGGCACCAATGCCTGGCAAGGGACAACCTCCCAGAAGAGCAGCACTGTGTTAGCCACCCAGGTTTCTGTCCAGTCCACATACTGTGACGTGAGTGTGAGGCACTGACAATAGCTATGACCAAGCCTCCCAAACACTTCTGACTCGCTGGATGTGCACTCAATGGTTTGTGCATCTGCAGAGGCCACCTCTCTGGCGTTTTGGTAGGCTGGGAAGTTGACAGTGCTGCCAGGCATCCAAATATCCCAGATTTAGGGTCAAGTTCTGCTTTTTCCATCTAGAAAGCACTTTTGCATGGAAAAAGAAAATGTGTCTGTGAAGCTCCAGTAATAAGGGAATATGCCCAACAGAAAAGGCAGATGCAATTGGAAGAAAATTTTAAAAAAATCTCAAACACATTTGCAGGGAGACCCAAAACGACCCTCAGGCTTGAGTAAAGCTTTTGGACTGGAGACTGGCAATTCCTGCATGGATGCTCTTGCTTTGCAGGCATCTTTTACTATACAAACCCAAAATGAGAATGAGAGGCATATTCTAACATATATGAGAGCTTAGTCACTACAGCTAAGAAAAGGTGAGTGAAAAGAGCAGCCATGGCATCCAAGCAAGTCCAAAGGGACAGACACAAGTGCCTCTCCACCTCAGGACCCTGCTTCCCCAAACCCCTGCCTAAGTTTATGAGAATGAGCCTCATGTTTATGTGTGTATGGTAACTATTAGAGTCAGAACTGGCAAAAGCCACCATCCTGGGTATGTCACAGAATTATTTGAAAGAGCTGCAGAAAGGTAAACTGCTCAGCTCAGGCGTGCAGTGGAAGCCAGCAAGGGTAAAACACACAGATGTGAACCAGCCCACAGATCAGTCACAGACACACTAGACTACTGCAAGGGGCAGGGTGGCCACTGGCTGTCAAGCTATGGCCTTCCTAACAGAATGATGGCCCCAGTAAGGTTTCTGGGGAATTATTTAGCATTTATATAGCACTTATCTTCCAAAAAAGGCAACTATGTTGTTGAAACCTGCCTCCTCGGTGCTGAGTAATCAGCACTGGATTAACCCCTGGTTAATTTTAACTCCTGGTTAAACCAGCATTTCCTCTGGTGGCAATGGCACCTGGGCCTGGGGGAGTGGGAAAAAATGCAGTGGTCAAACTGTCTGTGAGCCACTTGAGCTAAAAATCACACCATTAACTACTCCGGTGACACCACACACATTTTTGGATGTGCAAGAGCATTCAAAGCAGAGGGGTTTACACCCTGGGGCTGGAGAAATCTACTTTCCCTTCACTCTTGTCTCTCTTTTCTTACCATTGCCAATAAAACCCACTCCCATGGAAACTTTATCTCTAAAAAATAAAGGTATCCTCCTGGAGAGCATGTTCTCAACCTTCTGCCAGAGTGAGTCAGATTTTTTTTTGGTAAAGTAACTGGACTCAATCTCATTTCAACACTATGATTAAAAAAGAAACAAACCACCTTTCATGGTCAAAGAGTTGAAATCACCTTAGAAACAGATGTTCTGAGAAAAGTAACAACATAAGAGAGGCTTTCACAGCTGCCTGGCTTGGACCACTGAGCATTAGCCAGTACAACCACGATTTAAAACAAGTCATGCCTGTTTGGGAACAACTTGTAGTACTAGCAGTCCACGTTACACTGAGGACTAAAATAAAGAGATATGGATGTAGAAAATTATGCTGAACTCCAGGACCACTTGGAAGTATCAGAGAAGTCTGGAGAAGGAAGTTGACCATGCCTTTATGATGGCTTATATCTCATGACCTCAAAATCTCATGGAAATTAAAGATATCTGTATTTTGTGTGATCTTTCGTGTTACACGATCTTGTTACAGATGGAGAAAGAAGCTAAATACATGGTCACAGGTTTCACAGGGCACCTGTAGCAGGATGGGGAACAGAAGAGGATCACCCTGTCCAGGCCATACTCTATGTCTTAACACACAGGAAGTTTTCCATTTCCATTAAAAACCCCACAACCACCCACTGAATGTGCTCACTCTGTAGGCAGGGTTTTTCTAACCTGTCAGTGATTACATCTCAACACTGACTCTCCGAGGCCTAGTGCTCCATCAGCACTACTGGGAATGCGAGTTACGCCCTGTTCAAATCTCCATCTGGAATCTGGAGCACGTAGCAGGAGCTGAGGAAGCAGAGACAGAAGGAGCTGAGGAAGCAGAGACAGCAGCTATGAACGGCACGCTGCCGACGAGCCCAGCGAGCCACACGTGCTGCCTGTTCACTGCTACCCCCCTCTCCTCTGACCCCAATTACACCAAGCCTTAACTCCAGCTTCTTGCTGGAAATAATAATTTCTCCAAGAAAACCACCCAGTGCTGCTAATGGTACTCAGAAAGGTCCCAGACTCAGTGTTTCTGTAGCACATGAGGTTAGCAGGGACTCTGCTTCCCAGCTACATTGTTGACACGCTGTTTGGGCAATTTTCAAAGAATCTTTTTGGTTGGAAGAGACCTTCAAAATCATGAAGCCCAACCATTAACCCAGCACTGCCAGGTCACTGCTACACCATGCCCCTCAGCACCACATCTGCATGGCTCTGAAACCCCTCCAGGGATGGGGACTCCACCACTGCCCCAGGCAGCCTGTTCCAAGGCTTGACAACCATTTTGGGGAAGAAATTTTTCCTAATGTCCAGCCTAAACCTCCTCTGGCAGAGCTTGAGGCCATTTTCACTTGTCCTATTGCTTGTCACTTTGAGGAAGAGACCAACTCCCACCTGGCTCCAATCTCCTTTCAGGGAGTTGTTGAGAGCCTGAAGGTCTCCCCTGAGCCTGCTTTGCTCCAGGCTGAACAAGCCCAGGTCCCTCAGGGGCTCCTCACAACACCTGTGAGGTGCATACTGCCTGTCAAACTGTAACACAGGTCCTGTTCCAAGCACCTTGGCTTGTACATTTTAGCTACACATTTGCAGCTTCTGTCACCAGACCACATCTCTTTCTCCTGGATGGTATATAAGTGTGGTTAAATCTGGTCCTGTTAACCTGATGGGATTTCTCCCTCCTCAGTCAGCAGACAAGACTGAACAACCACACAAAAAAATCCATGAAGACCCATGATAAAGGAGTGAGTCTGCATCCATTTTAGCCACTGGAGGGTCCAAGAGACTCAAGCAGGACCCATGTGTCAAATGCTGTGGATAGCAGGACTGAAGAACTGGCTGGACAATGCTGTTTATTCAGTTGGGTTACTCAGCCGGAGGCTTTGCCTCAAGTACTATCAAGTCAGGAAAACCAAGTTCTCTGTACCACAGAAGTGGTTTACTAGGTGACTAGCTGCACCATGCCAGCCAAATCAAGAAAGGTCACTTATAATGAAACCTTCCTTAAAACAAACAAAAAAACCCCAACAGAACATTTAATGGATCATATTCTTCTGGATCACCTTTTAACTGGGAAATAAAGAAAACATTTCCTGAGAATTTTTCTTTTTTTTAAAGTTGTTGAACCCCAATGCATTCAGTATGCTGAAATTAAGACACAACCCTCTGATCCCCTTCCTAGACACTTCAGCTTTATCAGGAGAAAGCCTGGGCAGGGCTCTGCAATGCACAGCACACCTCCGTGTTGAGCAGCAGCAGCTCCACATTTCTCTAATACCTCTTTCTCCTGATAGCATCTTCTCTCTGTCACAGGATATGATCCCACCAAAGCCATTCATCCTTACTGCAGCACTTGCAGATATTAAATCCCCCGGACAGGCTGACTAATGATCCAGCAGGCTGGGAAGGCCCCAGGTGCTCAGGGAGCTCAAGGTAAGAGCCTTCCTTCAGCAGAGCCACGCTCTGCTGCGAAGCGCGTAATCGAGTATGACACGAGCAGCTCAGTGTGGAGAACCTGCTCCAGCAGCCTCCATTTCACAGAGGGAAAAGTAAAGTAAGGCTATTAGCTCTTTCTCCTCCTAGCTCCTCAGCTTTCACAGCTGGGAACAGGGCTCTGGGAGGGCACAGCATCCCCTAACCCAGCAGCAGAGCGGGCAGCACGGCTGCTGCTAGGCACTGCCCAGCTCATTAATGCCAATTGAAACTGATGTGGTCTAACACACCAGGCTGCAAACTGCACACAATGCACAGATGTGGCAAATGGCCCCTTCTGCAGGGGTGCTGGCAATGGGGAGGGCTGTGGCTACCTCTTCACTTGCCCCTGTGCCAACAGCCAACACCCTGGAGACCCAATTCTCAGTCAGTGGCACATCTCAGTGTTCTATTTCTAACCACTGCCAGCTCCAGATCTACCTCAGTGCATTGTGCTGACCTGCACCTTTTCTCAAAAACACCAATTCAAGCAACTCTGTGGAGAATGAACAGTTAACATGGCTAATACAGACCCAAAAGGATTATTGTAGCTCTGCAGAACTGGTTTTTGGGATAAAAGCAGCTCTGCTGGGATGAAAGCCTTCATATGCCAAGCCCTTTTCCAGCTGAAATGGAGAACATGTGCTGGCACACCACGGCCACATGCTTATTTACACCAGCCAAGGGAGGCCCCGGTTCAAAACGTTCACATGTGAAGGTTGCTCATCTGCCAGCATCAATGTGAAGAGAAGGAATATCAACCACAAAGACAGGAGGAGGAATAATACTCCTGATTCCCACGTATGCTTCAAGTACACTGCACGTCAGCATTTCACAGTGCCTGTTCCAACCATGGTGTGTCTACGTGGGAGGAAAAAGGAAGAATCAAAGTGTCGTAACTTGGAAAGATGTTGTCTTGAATTACATGGTCAGAATTGTCTCAATTACAATCTGTTTGCTAAAGCAGCCAAAATGTATTTCAGTACTGATCAAAATCTGTTTATCTTATTAAAGGTTTTAGAAGGATGAGTCTGATAAATGGGAAACCCTACGTACTGGCTTCCCTGTGTTTTCATACTAATGATTTTGCTGTCAACACTGATGTAATAAAGCTCTCTCAGGCTGAAGGAAAATTAGCCACTACTATACTTGATTTTTCTATTTTTTTTTCTTTTTAAATACTTTGATGGCACGAAATTTGTCATCTACTAGATGCTGGCAAGAAGAGCCTCGGCAGCCATGCTTCAGACCCACACTTCAACTCCTGCACAGGATCTACAGAGACACTGCTTAAAATAGATGTGTTAAAACCCAATTCTTTCCATAATCCAATGCCAGCAGAAATGTTTCCATGAAATTCAAACAAAAATCTGTGGAAAATTAAACTTTTATGCTAACATTCCTCTGCAGCATCCACAAAGCACAGCATCACAACACTGCTACAGCACACAACAATCCAGAAGGAGTAAAAAGGGGAAACTACAGAGAGGCCCATATAAAAGTGAAAGTGCCTACCCGTCTCCAATGAGCACGCTGAAAAACTGTAGAGAAATCAAAACAGTAATTAAAAATACTGCAGAACAGCTCAGAAGCATTCTGTCCCTAATATTTCCAGGATTATCAGCAACAGGTGCTGATTTGGCAGTCGAAGTTATTATCTTTTGAATATACGGGATAAGAATTCATCCTCAGAATTCTTAATGATATCGATTACATTCAGCTCTGATGTAACTCTGGTATCTCCCACCTTGAAGTGCTTCACTACTGAGCTATATTAGACTGGCCAGAAGTTTGCTGAAGTACTAAAATTGTTTTGTCACAGCCACGTCAGAATCTCACAGTTTACTGTAACTACACAGGACAAACACCGTGAGCAGGGTTCAGAACCGCGCAATTCGACTGCTGCTACTCGACCCTGTGCAGCCAGTGGGTAAAGTACACCAGGAAGGTTTTCCTTCGTGGTCTGGCCAGCCCCCAGCTTACCTTTCCATCGGAGGCAGTGTTTATCCTGTAGTGGTACACCCTGCCCTCGTACCGCAGGGAAATGGATCTCTGGCCAGGGCTGCTCTCACTCTCTCGCACGAGGAAGCTGCCGTTGATCCCGCTGCTCAGCAGGTACTCGGCTGCGTTACGAGACACCGGCCCGTGGTACCAGGAGTGCTTCTCCAAACTATTCACTGGGGTGATGTAGTTGCTGGGCACCCAGCCTTGTCCGTTCTTGGTTTGGGCCTCGCACCATTCCCCGTTGTGGTTGTAGCCCAGGACACGCAGCTTTTCACCTTAGCGCAAGAAGAAAATGTATTTAGACGTGGCAAACCTAGGAGCTGAGGACAAAGACAGGATCAAGGGACTGCTGGAGAGTGTCCAGCAGAGGCTAGGAAGATGAGGGGACTGGAGCATCTCTGTGATGAGGGAGGCTGAGAGCCCTGGGGCTGGTTCACCTGGAGAAAAGACTGAGAGGGGATCTGATCAATGCTTATTAGCATCTAAATGGCGCAGGTCAAGAGGCTGGGGCCAGACTCCTGTTAGTGGTGCCCAGTGACAGGACAAGGGGCAACAGGCACAAAGTGGACCCCAGGAGGTTCCACCTAAACATAAGGAAAAACATTACTTTGGGGGTGCCCGAGCCCTGGCCCAGGCTGCCCAGTGAGGTTGTGGAGTCTCCTTCTCTGGAGAGATTCCAAAACCACCTGGGTGCCATCCTTGTTCTGAGTGACCCTGCTGGAGCAGGGGGGGTGGATGAGACAATCTCTAGAGGTCCCTTCCTACTCCCACCATGCTGGGATTCTTTCTGGCTAGCAGACCATTAAATAATCTCGTATAAGAACAGGTATCTGACTGAGCAGGGAGCATGAGTGTTTCTTTAAGCTTGATAAGAGCCCTCAAAATCAAATAGAGTCACATGCAAGCTTCAGGATTAGCAAGGCTCTTGTGTAGTTCTGCACCAGCTCTGGTACTGCTTGAACTTAAAAAAAAATTAATCCAGCAAATTTTACTTAAACTGAGTTTGCCTGATGGGGCTAGAGGAGTGGATAAACAATAAAAATAGGAAGGTAAGCAGATGTGACCTGGGGTACACATAAGGAACATAAGAAAACATTGTATCTGTACAGTCATTCTTCATATAGGGACTGTTTCGGAGAACCATGAAAATGGTAGAGGGCAGCCTCTAAAATGAGCTTAATTTCTCAGTTCAAATTCTCACTCCCAATGGAGACTTTAGTTTTGGCAGTTACTTGCCCAATGCAAAAACTTCAGACAGTTTTAACCTTTTAAACAGTTATGACTTTGTGAAATATCTGTATTTGTTTAAGAATTCTCACAGTAAAAAAAATTCTACAGGGTTTAGTGTATAACTCAGTTACCCTGCAGTGGCTTTTCTCTCTGTGCTGCCCCAAGCACTCCCAGGACAGCTCTGCCCAGCCATCTTACCTTTAGTTATGCTGAGAGTGTTGTCCCCACTCGCCACAAAGTCATACAGTGCAACAAAGAGATGGGGGTCATTCTCACTAGGACAGGACAGGAGGTTTTCCTTGGAGTTCCAGCGAGCTGCTTCGCTCAGACCTTGGGGCTCGAAGTCTGACACTACTGGTCTCTGAAGGGCTTCTGGAGGAGAATTGAGAGAGAAAGACCGAGAGAGAGAGAGGAAAAAGGTTCATTTTTGCTGATAAAAGTCATTTAGTTAACCCATCCCCTCTGATTTTCTAAGTTATATTGTTTCTTCACACGTGTGCTCCTCGTGTCAGAGGACAGATACAGACAGCACTTCAGTGCAGATCTCCTGCCACACAGGCAGTACCCCCTTGTTGCAGAGCTGTCCCCCAGCTCCTGCCTCCATGGCACACAGGAGAGGAAAAGTCCCTCTCCCTCCCTCCAGTTCATGCTGCTCACGTAGGCTGTTTGCTGCTTGTAAATCCTTTGGCTCAGGCCTAACTGCTGGAATGGTTAGATTTGAAAACAAACCCAAGACCTTTAAAAGCTAAATCCCTTAATTATCCTATAAATGAAAACGCCAAAATATGCAGCACAGAAAGCCAGGCAGGGTGAGATTTATAAGACATGGTATTTAAGAATGAGATATGTACTTCCGTTCCTCACAGCGTTTTTATCATTTCTCTTTTTATTTGAGTACAAGGTTGTGTCCTTTTTGTTGTCCTCTCTCCTGCTTGCTGCTCTTGAAACCAGAGTGCAGTTGCGGGCATACTTCACACAGTGAGCTTTCCACATTTTTTAGGAAGCCTGAAATACTTCTAGAAGAAGAGATTCCTAAAAACTGAGCTTCACAGGTGAGTAAAAAACAACCACCAAAGTTTTTTGTAAATCACAGCACATTAGGAATGAATATTCAGTAGGCATCAGGCAAGACCAAGTAACGTGAAGGAGTTTTATTGTGGTGGCTCCTGTGAACCCTCCTCTCTGGGCCACGACTCAATCGTTTGGGGCAGTGATGCTCCAGGTAGCTGTGCCTTCCCTAGCTGTGCTGGCACAAACCCAGAACAATAAGCTGTCAAAATCTTAGCGTTTGAAAGGTTATTTTTCATCTGGATGAGTTTGTTGAGCAAGGTCAACAGCTCCACACGCAAACCAGCGCGGCTACGGGGACAGGAAACACAACACTGTGGCAGCCAGCCCCTTGCACCACAAAATGACTTTTTGGTCTTGGTATCAGCCTCTGCCTGCTCCCCCCACTTGCTGCCGAGACCCACTTCTGCACAGGTAAACACAGCAGGGCTTTGGAGGGAGAAATCCCAGGCCAAGTGTTTTCTACATTATCAGACCACCTGGGAGCACAGTTCTCTCTTTATACTTCTAACGCTCACCAGCAAGGACCTGCTACATCATGCAGTCACACCAAAATATGCTTTTAACTCTATTGCTTATTTGGTCTGGCAATCCAGCATAAATTTTACCAGTAAACCAATGAAGAACTGACACAATTGATAAAAAAAAAAACGTATGGAAGTATGTACTGGGACAGGTCCAAAATACATTTCTGATGGGGAAATGCTGAAAAAAAAACCCAACAAAACAAAACCAACCCACAAACCCCCAACCCTGCAAACAGTAACAAATCTCATTCTTCTCTAAGCCTCTGTGGAGAAAGTGCCAGTATTCACCCACAGATAATCTGGCGTCCTCGCCGCGTTGGTCAGATCACCCCTGGTAATGGCTCTCTGGGTGATTTACGACCACGTGTACTACTGTATTCTTTGGAAAAGGTAATATCATATATGTGGGCAAAGAGCAGACCAGCAAGCATACACACCAGTGGGCCCATTTTCCCAGCCAAACCCTATCTGCTTGGAGAAACTTTTTTTATAGTGAATCAGAGAAGTCAAATAACTAAATGATTTCAGAGTCAGGAAAAGTGAACCAGCGGGCCCATTTTCCCTGCCAAACCCTATCTGCTTGGAGATACTTTTTCATAGTGAAACAGAGAAGTCAAATAACTCTGCTTTCTAAATGATTTCAGAGTCAGGAAAAGTGGGGGTGTGTTGGGTGGTTTTTTTAAAGCACCTTGACATCCTTTTTTCCCCCCTCCTGTTTCCTGCAGGAGAATGTATTTTAATAGCCTGGGTTTGCTTCTAGAGGACGATAAGAAAAGAAACAGAAAATCCACTTTCAGAAAATTAAGCTATAATCATTTTACCATGAAAACGCTTTGATGCTGTCAAGCCCATTAAGCTCCCTTATCAAACACAGGGCACTGCAGTGACTGGAGATACTCCAAGGAGTTACAGCATCAGTGAACACCTGGAACAGACAGACAGCAGGGAGCTGCAAGTAGCAGAGACACAACCTCAGCGAGGAGGGACACCGTGATGCTCTCCCCCAAACACAGTACAAACCAGTACATGCCACACGGTGGGATGGACCGTAAGCTCTGTTAGGAAGGAAAATGCCTCTCCCACGGGGGACTGATTCGACAGGAAGGCAGGAAATCCAAGGCAGGCTCCTTGCCAGCTCCAGCACGATGGCAGCCCGGCAAAGGATGGCTCATGCACAGCCAGGGATGGGGGTGTGGGAGGGAAGCCAAACGCTCTGTGAGAATCCCTCCCTCGTGCCCAGGCCGCGGCGGTGCTGGGACTGACTCATTCAACACGGGTGCCAAGGTATGTGCTTTGATTCAGAGCAGGAGACAACACTGTGTCAAGCACTGAAAACACCCACCAGCTGCGGTGAGGAAGGCAAGGAAGGCTGGTTTTGCTTGATGACATCCCTACAAACAGCAACTCAGTGATAACTGCCTGCAAACTCAAGGAGTAGCAAGAGCAAGGGCTGTTAAATAAACGTATGAGAATTTGCAAAACCACAAGAATCCCCCAGTGAATAGAGAGGATGCTATGCACAGATGGGCTCTTATCCTCTGCAGCCTCCCTGTCAAGCCCCTGCTCAGCCACTGGCACCCCAACAGGGATGCTCACTGTGTGCGCAGGAGAGATGCAAAACCCAGCTCCTGGGTTGGGTTAGGGATGGTGCTTCCAGAAGGTAGGAACCCCAAGTCAAGAACTGAGGTGGGGAAGACAGCAGCTGAATGAAGTTTGAGGGGAGGATGAGGCCCTGAGTCAACACAGAGAGGAGAGTAAAGGAAAGAGCAGAGTTGTGGTGACCCGAGTGTAGCAGAAGCTTGATAGACCGTGACAAAACACACTTTTAAAGGTCTGGGCCCCAAGAGGAGGCTGTCAGCAGACTCAGGACAAAAACCCATGAAGCGAGAGAAGCAGACAGGACATGTCCATCTGGGAGCCACGGCTGTCAGCAGTATCCCCCCGAGCTGCTCTCTAGTAAATCTGCCCAGACATTGCAGTCCTTCAGAGCAGGAACTAGACACTGCTGCTCACACGTATTGAGGGCTTTTCTCAAACACTCTACAGCTTCTTCACCTCCTACTGCTGACTTTAACTACAGTTTCACAGCTCTGCTGAGCTCTTCAGTGGGCCAGATTCCTCCCAGTGAATCAGCCCGGCTGCTGCACCTACAGGAGGGTATCCTGGCACAGCCACGGGGCAGGGAGTGAGCGTAATTCAGTCTGTTATCTCTGCACTGTGATTCCTTCCACGCATCCACTTTGTCTTCTGCTGCAGCCCAGCAAGACTGTAATTTATAACTTTGATCATACTGGGCTCTGGAGGACACCTGGCTCCCCGGGAGGTGTCCCGAGGCAACGATGTAATTCAGTTCTCCACTCACAGCAACTAAACGACGACTCTTAATTAAAGCAGAGTAGACTTCGAAGTAAGGCAACAACAGCTTTTATTTTGAGGCATTAGCCATAAGATTGTCTTCAATTCCCCCTTAAATGAAGTTGTTACCAGGAGATATGTTTGCACACTAAGAGGTTTCATAAGTGTAACTATCTCCTGCTAATGCCTGGTTATATGAAGTCATGAATCATTGTTAGGGACTACGTAGGAAATTCTCAGATATGAACAATTCTGGTCTAGACTAATGAAAGCAAATTTCCTCAGTAATTTAAGGGAAGAGTTAGAAAACAGGCAGAAGCACACAATTACACTCTGCTCCTCCACAGTCCCAAGGGAAGGAAGAGACCTCCTGTCTCCCTACAAAACAAACATCCTGTGGGCTTACAAACTGTGCTGGCATTTTTTCCACAAGGTTTCTAGAGCGAGAGAGCACAGAACACATTTACTAAATTCTTTGGAGGTACAGCACGTGCTGCCTAAAGCTTCTCCTTTCCCTGCATTCCCCCTACTCTCCTTTTCCCCTGGAAGAAATCAGAAGTGGCAGAATATCTATGCAGGTTTAATACACCCAAATGTTCCCAACTCTGGGCACCTATGATGGAGCAGCTGCCTCTCCAGGGAACCTTGTGGATTCCCTACATCTGATGGAATATGGATTTTAAAAAATAATACTAAAATAAATCTGTCAACCAGGTCTTTCCAAAAAGAGGGAAGATTTCATGTTTTCTTTCAGACTCATCCCTCTGTCACCCACTCCACAGCACAGGCCATACAACCTTCTGTAACAAAGGCTATCCCTGGTGCTTCTGGTCTTGGCTGACATTTGGGAAGTCTACGTTCTTACAGCCAGCATGAGGACAAATGATCACTTTTATCAAATTCTGTAGTCCTATACAGAGATAAGAAGTGCACAAACAGACCCAGCCTCTCTCAGCCAGACTCACTCCTCCTTTGCTGCCCTATTTCCACCCCCAGTAAAGTGCTACTGTCCTGCAGGCAGGCTGGGCTCCTCGCATGGCCACCAGCAACCTCCAGCACTCTACACACTGACAACCAAGTCTCCTGAATGCCAGCAGGAGAGAACACGGCCACCCATGGCTCCTGCTGCACTCCCCACGCACAACCTGGCCCTCCCAGGCAGCTGCAGTGTTTTTTCTTGTCCAACACTAAGCACTCCTGATGAGGTGCCTTCTTGCACCTTCCCAAGAGATGATTCCATCATCTTGGGGCTTTGGTTAGTGGTGGGTTTTCTTTGGTTGGTTGTAGGTTTGCTTTTTTCCTTTGAAAGTTCACTCCTGTATGAGCCTGCAGGTTCCACTTGAGTTCACTGGTCGAGTTTATTCCCTTTATAAACCCTTAGTGACCCAGTAAATACCACCTTTCTCCAGCCAGCTAATCACAGTTGTAGATGTATGGAGTGGAAACAGTGGGAATGGCAGAAATTTGGATTTTATTCCCAAATCTGCTACTAAACTGCTACCTGATCTCCTATTCCAACCTCTGGGAGAGGAAGGGGAAAGTAACTAGATCCAAGTGAATTTCAATGACACTTGCCTACTTCTGAAAAGTTTTACAATTTTTGTTTTGGTTTCCTTACTAAAGAGCAGAAGGTTTGTTCATTTCTGAGCCCTGGGGAGGGAAAGCTCCAAGCAAGAATGATTGAAATTTACTGTTTTAGTTCCCCATTTTAATAAGCAGCCCAAGACCACTCAGGGAACGACTAACATGTCTGTGGATGATCAGTTTTAGGTCTGAAGACAGCTACAGCTTTCCCCTGAAATGATACTCCCTTCCTCACCACAACCCATGGGAAATAGTAGCAAGCATCACCACCCAGATATTTTAATTAGGATGGGACAGACAAGAACCACTGGAACAAGCACATAACACACATAACTGTGAGGCCATTACAAAGCCAGAAACGTATTTAAAAGCAAGAATTCTACTGAGTGATAGTAGATGAGGGGCCAAGAGGTGAGGAGCAGAAAATAGCTAAGGAAGACAGGAAACAAACAGAAGGCTCTTCCCTGGGAGGCAGCAACACCATCCTGATGCACTGATTCTTCCCAACAGATGGATGAAAAACCTGCCTGCTGACCCCAGTGACACCAGGGCAGGGAGAGTCACTGGCATTGCACATTTGGGTCTGGCTCAATATGGACCCAAATGTATAGAAGAAACTCTCCAGGAATGGGGCAATGGCTGCAGGCTGCTGCTCCTCCTCAGGCTTGTCTACTCAAGCTGTAACAAGACACATTAAAAAAAAAAAAAAGACAAAAAAAAAATCCAATCTGACAGCTGGCAGGACTGAAATCATTTCAGTTAGAAAACAAAAGACTTTTCTAGTGTCTCCTAAATGTTTTTTAAACTTTACAGAGAACACTGACAGGTTTTAAACAAGGCTTCTGCCTTTCAGTGGTAGAGCAAGCCCAAAAAGGCAGCAAGACTATTTCAGCCCCTATTTGGGACATGGACACGTTCTGTCTCCCAGATCAGATTGGCAGCAGTGCTCGCTGTGCCTCTTCCCTTCTACTCTTTACCCTTTCTCGGTGTGAAGTGGGGGAGGAATTTTGTTTGGCAAAGGCAGAAAGGAGAGAGCAGATGAGAGAAATCAGACCTCTCACTTTTAAAACAGTATTTACTAATGGGAATAGAAACAAGAGTAAAATCTGGCCGGCTCAAACATGAATATGAAATGTCAATAATTGTTAGAACCAGTTTTAACTTATTTTTGGTTCAGTTAAGAAGTGGTTCAGCTTTCCCAGGGAGCAGGCAAGCCCTCCTGTGCCCAGCACTGTGCCCAGCACGTGGATGTGGTACCTGCCATCCCTCCACGCCACCACAAACTCTACAAGCAGTCCTCATTCCTGCCAACCAACAGAGCAGAAAAGCCTTTCAGAGGAGACCACCATGAAACCCCTACACATTTCTGATCCTTTGGTCAAATGTGCCTGACTCTACATCAACCTCATCTCAAACCCAGTCCCAATACAACTGTATTTTTAAACATACTTCTTGAGAACAATAAACAGAATTGATTTTGTTACAGCCCCATGCTATTCATTAATCAAACACTGCCTTGGTTTTGTTAACACATGAGAACTAAAATAAGAAATTGAATGAGGTACAATTTCATCCATCCTCCTGGCTGCAACTGATTTTCCACGCAGCTAACAGACCTTCAATCCTTTAAGCAGTTACATTTAAGGTTTTACAGTCTACTATAGTAAAGAAACTTTCAGCTTTCCCCTCATGTCCTCAACAGCTTCTCATACAACTAGGATAACAAGAGCAGAGTTAAATCCTCCAATGATATCACCATCATCTCCTTAATCCTTTCAGAAGCTTGAGAGAGACTGTAGGACACACATGAGGATGGCCTGCCCATTGCACACTGCTCACAGGGATCCAGGGGCAACACTTTCAGCTTCTGACCCTTCACACAAACCTGCCCCCTTCTCACTGTCTGCCCAGCTTAAGTGATTTCTATCAAAATTAACAAATCCTTCTGTAAAAATTTGGTATCTTTTTACAGGTAATGCAAGCAAAGGCTTTTCACTTGTGCCCTTGGAGTAAGGGAGTTTGGGGCAAGCCACCAAACGTTTTTGAAGAGTCCTCAACAGCACATTCAACTGCACTATGATTTTATTAAGAAAGTTGATTACCACAAGGGACCTGCAGCTTTAGAAAGGAATAACAGAAAAACCTACTTTTAAACATTTTTTCCTCCAGGTGAATATAGATTCTTGCTTCTCACCCTTCTCACCAGAAGATCCACCATCAGTCACAGTGGGTCCTGGGCCACCTACATCCAAACTGTCACAGTGTTAAGGCTGCAACTGCCACAGTTGTTCACCATTAACCACTTGGATACTGGTTGAGTTTTGCTACTTTGATAGAAGATTGCTTAAAAGTTGTTTCAGTGCTCATTTCCCTTCAAAAAATCAATCCTAGTCTCAGGGAAGCAGAAGGCAGAAATACTACAGTATTTATTGTGATCATGATCACATTCTTAACTCAGTAACTGCCTACAAGACACACTGTGCTCTAATTATCTTATGCAACTGCCCGGCAAATTGGGGAGGGGGGAGTGGTTGTAACACAAACAAAAGACAAAACTTGCAAAAACAGTCAGGGCAACACCCTTGTAACATCATCCTTTCGCATTCATTTCTGCAGGGAAGAGAGGCCCCAGATGCTCGGCCTGTTCTCTCACAACAGGGCTGTGTTGAAAGATCCAAGGGCACAGAAAGAAGAGGGCCCAGCAGGGCTCAGAGCTGCTCCTCATCACACACATCCTGGCTGTGCCCGAGCAACACCACAGCCAGGGAACACAGAGAGAGGTTCTGTAGATCTAAAAGATCACTGAAGAATTCAGTTGCATAGGAAAGATGAAAATTATTCACATGCATCTGCTCAACATTAGGCTTCTGAAACTTTAAATAAATAAAGAAGTCCTCCAGAAACTGTTCTTTGATTTTAGGCAACAGCAAATTCTTCAGAGCCACTAAATCTGGTTAATACAGACTCTTGCTCCGAAATTTCTTCAAGTGGGTTTGCCGTCAGAAGCCATTTGTAGATCGAGATTCCTAACCTATGAATTTCCAAGGACCATTTCTCCACTGAATATTCGAGAGTTGAGCAACAGCGACTTGTGATAGGCCCCAGGAAATCAGCTGCTGCCTTTCGTGCCTCTGATTTGATGAGTTAGCACAGTCCTCCTGGCATGCAGATTATTTTCACTGAAGCAACATCCAGCAACACAAAAGAAGTTGAAGAAGCCCAGGGAGGCCCAGTGGGATGGACACAGCCCCATGAGCGCAGTGAGGAGGCTGGGGCTGCAGGAGGGGACCTGTAATGCTGCTCCACAGACGGGGTGTGAAGCCACACTGGGGTGAAGAACTTAACTTGCTTGAGGTCACACCAAGCAAATCCTCAGCCCAAAGTCCCCCAGCACAGTGCCTCTGCCACTAAGACTTTCAATCTGACCTAGTCAGGTCCATACGTTTAACATCTCAGTGTCTACAAATAGCCATAGCTGTGACTTAAAAATCACCTTTTAAAAGTAAACGTGCATGAAAATTCAGCTAAATGAATGCCTGTGGAAAGCAAACTCACATGGGGATAACTAAAATGAACTAAGCGATTATGTATTAACACATGCTGAAAATATTTACTGAATCTGAATTTTCATCATCGTCATCTGAATTTTCTTCTTTAGCTGGGAGTTTGTTTCATCATCTTCCTCTCGAGTCCGAAATAAGGGAGATTCTTTCCCAGGCAAAAGAGAAAAAAGATAAAGCCGAGGCCTGAAGATACGGCTTTGTTTATGGGCTCGGCAACAAGATCACTTGAAATTTTACAACCATAAATGGTAGAGCCGCGTTCCCTTTGTATACTGCAGCTAACCAAAGTCACCTAGGCTCTGGATGCCGCCTACATCCTCGGGTTCCTCTCCCCAAAAAGCCCGGCCAGGACCAAACATCTCCCCAAACCCGGCCCCAACTTGCAAGCAAGGGATAAAACTTGTGTCTGGGACAGCGACGGGGTCGGGCCGTGCCCCCTCCAGGAGCCCAACAGCCGGAGCCTGGGCTTCAACCCCGTCCCCCTTGGGCACTCACCTTCCAGGTAGCAGCTGGAGGAGGAGGAAAGCCCCTTCTTCGATTTGCAACCCACCAATTTCAAGCAAATCTCCAACATTTTCATTTGTTAGAGTTTGGCTTCGGCTGTCTGCTTTCCCTTCCCCCTCTTCAGCTTCTTCTCACACTGTTGAATTATCCGGCAAAAAGTCTAAAAAAGTCTTTTAAAAAATCCGCTGAGCGTCTGAAAAAATCCAGGAAAAATCTAAGACAAAATATCCAGGGAAAGTCTAAGAAATCCAGCGCTCTGAAAACCATTACAAGGGCGAGGGCGAGAGGCGGAAAATCCTGGGGCCCCGCATCTCCTCTCCCGGGGAGTTAACTCCAGCCATCTTCCCTCCTTCCCAACTCTTTTGGCGGGAGAGAGGAGGGAGGCGGAAAAGAGAAAAGAAAAAGAAAACGGAGGAAAATGAAACAGAAGAGCAGAGGGAAAGCCGCCCAAGGCGGGGAGTCACTTCTGCCCGCGGTTGGCGGCAGCTGCCCGCATGCCGCTGGGTGCAGGCAGAGCTGCTGGGGCTCCGCTGCCAACCAAAGGCCTGCCTCCGTGACATCAGGCAGCGAGCAACGCCCTCGCTCCTTAACCCTCCTCCTGCCTGCCCTGCCTGCCTCCGCGCCCGAGCAGAGCGCGAAAATCAACAAGTACCCCCGCCCGGGCCAGCCCTGCTCGGCTGGGGAAGGGGGAAGGCAGGATTCGGGAGGAGCGGCGCCCGCGGCGCTTTGTGCGGGGCTCTGCTCACCCAGCGAGGCGCAGGCAACAGGCGAACTCTCCACAGCGCCTCGTTCGCAGCGGTTAAGGGAAGGGCTTGGACACTGCGCCTTGTACGGGGGAGAAGCGAACACAGCCCTGTCCCTTCGTAAACCAGCACAAACCCCGCGGGGGAGCTGGAAGCCCTTCCCGAAAATGCCGTCTAAGCGTCCCTGTGCTAATTGCAGGCAAACGGACTCAGATCGCAGCTGATGCATTTACCCTGGCAGGACACTGCAGGAGGGACCAAAAGTTTTCACTCCCTCACTACCAAGTATTCTTTTCCCCTACAAACTGTGCCTTTCCCTGCAGGTTCCTCAAGGCTACACGTTAAATATCACTCTCCAGTCTTGTATTTTTTATAAGTTACTTTCTAGCATTATCATGCTTCCTTTTTCAAACAACCATCACTTTTGCTACATATATATCCTATATGTATGTAATTTATATATACATATGTATATATAAAAGAGGTAGCAAGTTGGCTGTGTATACAATTATATTTCTTTTCACTCAAAAATCCCCTTTCCCTTCCTGAACCTTGGGGTGCTTTTGCTGCTTGCAGCAAGAGCTGCTCAAGGGTGCACAATTCATCAGGGGCACAAAACCGAGAGGCTGGGGGAACTGACCTGGGAAGCTGACCCTTTGGAACTCCACTGCACCATGTGGAGCACTTGTGGTGTCACACACAGGATCAACAGAGCAGCAAACCTTCATTTTTGTCCCTGAAAACCTCCCTTGACATCTGCCAGTTTATTTTGGCAAGGTTACTGACTAGCTAGTGCTCTTTTGCCCTCCAACGTTTTCAAACATTTAATACTTTAGGGGAAAATCTGCACGCTTCCAGCATCTGAGGACCACGCCTCTGACACAGCAAACATTGTTCAGACTCTTTAAACATTATTTTACAGCATTGCTTTGCCTCAGTCTTCTGATTCATGGGCTGTACACATGAAAGACAGCTTGGAAAGAAATCCTTGGTCTCTCAACCCATACTGAACTGCAATAGTAACATTTGCATTTTTTTCAAAGTATCACAAGTCGTATCATTTCTAGCAGAGAAACAATCATGGGAATGACAGCGTCATCTCCAAGTGCTGTCACAGTTTTTCCTCAGAGAAGACAAAAGTGGATATCCCCATTTAATAAATGAAGAAACAGCAAGAGAGCTTAAATATTTCCTCAAGCTCGACAGTCTGGAGAAGAGATGGGGCTACAGATCCAGCTCCCCACCTCTGGCAGCCTGCATGTGCGTCAGAAAGACAACGACATGGTTCTTCCCAACTCTCCTGTTCTCTCCCACTTCTGGAGGAGGATTTTTTGGAAAAGTAAGACTTTCAAGAGAAATCAACACTGACGTACTTGTTCCCTGCCTGCTTAACTTCACATGAGGTTGCAACAGAGAACTTGGGCAGAACTGGACTGGAGGAAAAATTACAAAAAAACCCCCAAAGGAGTTAAAAGCAGATTGGGAGGAGAAAGGTTATATAAACCACAGGAGGAGCTCCGCCACCACGTGTTTAGGCCCAGTGTCGTGTTCAAGGAACAGGATGAAGTAACATTGTAAGAGCAGACCAGTCATCTTGCATGCAACCTCTTTTCCATGTGAGGAGCATCCCTATCCCACTTCTCCTCCACTGCAGGTTCAGGAATGCAGAATCCCCAAAGCATTCCCCCAGCAGCACAGAGCACCACCAGGAACACCACCCAACCATTACAATTAAGGTTAATACAATGAGCACCAGCAGAATTAATGTGGATTAGTCTTGATGAACTCCTGGGGTTCTTATTCCAGAAGAAGAATGCCTCATCTCAAATTAAATTAACCCACTTGCAGAAGAACCTCAGAGTAGGAGAAAGGCATCCACTTGGGGAGTTAAACACAAAGAATTATCCTGGGATAACTTCCTCTGTAGATAAACAAATTAATTCCCTTTATGTTTCCATGCAGACAAGCCTGTGTGGTCCCTCTGCTTCGAACATCATCTTTCAATGTTTTCTCTTTTGTGCCATGGCAAACAAGGCTGTAAATACTTTGAGCCCTCTGCCTTTGCTGCATGCCATGAAATTAACTGGCGATACAGAAATAAAAGCCATGCTGGTAGTGTCACACAAACTCTGCTACTCTTAGGCTGGCATCTATTAATCCCTTTCATGTTTGTTTGTCATACACACATCGTAGAACAAAACCAGTCATGAAAAGCGTGCAGGCTTTTGGACTGATGCAACTGTCCACTCAGGCTCCGAGTTCTGCTGCAGAACAGCAAAACCATTTTGGTTGGGAGCAGACTCGTATGGTCTCCAGTTCATCCTGCTGCTCAGAGGGCAGCTAGCTATCGACATCAGGTTGTTCCAGGCTTTTTGCAGCTAAATGTTCAGCAAGTGCTGGGCAGCTTAGAACACTTTTATCCTCTTAGAACTATCTCACTTGGTCCTCTTGTGAGTTTGAAGTGTTGCTTCTCCTTGCGCTGTGCACCTCTTGGAAGAGTCTCTGTGGTCACCAGCTGGGTGGGTAGAGGAGCACTGGGACCCTTTCAGCTCTCTCTTCCCCAAGCTGGGAAGAAGCAGCTCCCTCAGCCTGGGGGTCACTGCCTGCTCCAGCCCCTCCAGGCTCCCTCCTGTGTGTCAGCATCTGCCATGGGGGAAGGAGAAGGAGGGGGCTGGTTGGGGGAAAGAGGGAGCTGGACGCTGTACTCCAGATGTGGCTTCACAAGTGCCAAGAAGAGGGAAATAATCACTTCCTTCGACCTGCTGGCTCTGCTCTTGCTAATGCAATCCAGTATCCATTAGCCTTTATTGTTCATGCTTATACAAGAGCATAAACCTATTTAGCCAACTGCCTTCGTGTTTGAGCTTCTAGCAGGCACCTATTTATTCTTTATTTTCTTAAAGCTACCCAAAATTTGAGGACAGATTTTTTTCCAAAAGGGAATGATCACACACATGCACGACAGCAGCAGGGAAAGGACTGGACTCCATGAGCAGAAAGTGAGTTTTGGCATGATCCCATGACGTTAGCAGCTGGAGTGAATTTTGTTGCCATACCATTAAAAACAGCTTGAGTGCTTGTCACCCATTTAAAAGCAGAGCTTGGTTTTATTTTAAAACCCTCTTCTGAAACATGGAAAGATAACAGTTTGAAGCTCCAAACACTGGGTTTTTTGATAGGCATGTTCAGCTGTTTTGGGATGGAAAAAGTCACTTGAAACAGAAGCAGCACAAACTAGTAGTTAAAGCAAAGGCGCAAAGAAGCATGCCAGGAAAACAGCAGATTCTTGCTCACAGTTATGAGTTACCTGTGCCTTATCTTCTTCTTCTGTAAATGCAGCTGAAAATCTCCCCACAGGTCTTACAGACTAATTCAGTGCCAGCTGTAAAGCACTTCTGCTGTCTCTGGATGTATGGAGCAACAAAATGTAGAATCACGTAGTTTTAAGACGTATTTTTCTTAGTAAGTGATAAGGTTACATGTGATTTTGAGCATTCACAGGTCACTGTCTTTAGGATTAAAATAAGGTCCATGCCACAGAGCACTGCTGTACTACATAGCTCTTTTCTGATGACATCTTTCACATAGTGAAATAACACATTCTAGCACCATTACCTGATTAAAAATATATGCGTAGATGAAAATGATCAAAGCAACCTATGCTGAAATCCCTGAATGACCACAGCCTGTGCCAGGGACACAGCTGTAACAAAGCTGGGCTTTGATCCCACAACAAACCCAGTATTGCCTGTTTTCCTGGGGGCTGGTCCAGCTTTGACAGATTCCACTTTGCCTTTGGGTTTTCAGATCCTCCACCATTAAATGCCTCCATCCACTTTGAAATACAACGTGCCAAACTTCTGGGAAGATACTGAGAAAACTAGCAGCTTTAAAATCTGGCTACTAAATTCTACCTTCTTACCACGTGCAGCACAAAACACTGTCTGGTGGAGTCTTGTAAAACCGTTTGCAATGAACAGAACTTCAGTGGGTTGTGGACTCTAAGCCCTGAGAGCTTTAGTATGGAATGCCAAAGAAAGCAGGGCAGAACAGGAGTCCCAGATCCACAGGGTTAGAGCTGAGCCCACATCCCACGCCCAAAGCCACTGCAGATTTAAACAACGGTCTCTTGAGTCAATCACCTCTTAATCTTGATAACTGTTCATTGACACCTTGTAACTACTCCAAGTGACGAGTGAAAACGTGTCTTCCAGGCCATTTCAACATTCCCTGTTTACTCCCCAGCGACAGCACGACACAAAGGTGATTACCTGCCTGATTTCTGATACTTGCCACGTAATAGGGAGAGGGTGAGAAAAATCCTTGTTGGTGT